ATGATAATTGCTATCTGTCCACCTAAAAACAAAGAATAAAAAGAACAATTTTAGCATAATGATTGACTCTGTGATTTGTTTTTAGGAAAAAGGGAAAAAAATCCAACTCGGTCATTGCCATTGAGTGAGAATCAAATCATAACTAACTCTCCAGCAAGTTGTCAGAGGCTGTAAATTGGATGAGAGAATCGTACCCATCTTAATCCCTTGGAGCCTCTGGTAGATTCAAACTAAAAGAAAGGTTCCCTTTGGGTTAGGAATGCCTTACACCACTAGGGCTCTATTTTTAGAAAAATAATTTGACATGTGATTCCTTTAACCTATAAACCCATTGCCGTAAATTCTGATGACCCCATAGATAGAGTCGAACTGCCCTGGGCATGTTTCGAAGACCTTGGTCTTTGAGGAAGCAGATTGTCACATTGCTCTGTTGCTGAGCAACTGGTAGGTTTGAACACATAACTTTGTGTCAGCCGCCAAGGGCTTTCATCACTGCATCACATCATCAGAGCTCCTTTTCCTTTTACCAGTAGAGGGTCTTGAATGTAAGAACAGAGATTTTCATATAATTTATAAGACTTAAGTTGCCGGGGTGGGGGTAGGGGTGGGGAAGTAGTATGTTACTGATGTTTGCTTGTAACACCACAGGTGGTCTTTAAATCACAATCATTGGTTAGCAAAATTGTGGGTTTAAAGTGACTTCCACAACACTTAGCTAATCTCTGTAAAATTTTTCTCTGTATGACTTTTGTAATATTTAAGTGTCTTATAGCCATATGGCATGTTAGGTCCTTTTGTACTCTAGTTTATTGGATCATTAGCCCCTTTTTCACAGGTGAGGTCTCTGCTCTTAGAAATGGGATGATGGGTTTGTACACTTGCCCTTCCAAGCCCTCGTTCCAGCAGCTGTCTGTATGTGCTGGGTCGAGTACATGCCACAGAAGGAGCCATGGTGCTTAGAGCTAATGGATTCCATATTAAATTTAATTATCCTAGTCCTTATCCTTAATCAAAGCAAAGTAGCCTTTTCAATAATCCTATTAGCAGTGATGGTCTTTTGTACATTTTAAGACCCTGTCAAGCCAGTCATAACAGAGTGAACTGAATGTAGGGGTTTGGTTTGGTTTTTTTTTTTGGTACTAGCAATGCCAGCTCCCAAGCCGAGTGTCCTAGTCATTTTTTCATTTACTAAAATAATGAAAAGTACTCTTGACATAGTAACAGCAGTTTACCTCTTTCCTCCACATAAATTCTTTATTCTATCATTTACAGCATCACTAGAATTTTTATTTATCTTCATTTATTAATGTTTGGATATTACAAACTTAATTGTTTCAGTTCAGCTTTCCATAATCTTTTGTATTAACTACTTCGTAGAGCCCCTAAAGAAAGATTAAAAACTGTTAGGAAGCATGTTGTTATTTTCAACCTCCCCCCGCCCCCGCCCCATCCCTGCTTTGTACTGTCAAGTTGGATCCAACTGTCACTGGAGGAGATTACCCCTCCTTCTCCAGAGAAGCATATTATTAACCTTTTGAAGACTTAATGGTGGTTTCATAAAAGTTAGTACCTGAAATGTCTTTGCAGAAAAGACTTGTCATTATGTTTTTCACTTTTTAGTTGTTGTTGTTATGTGCTGTCGAGTCGTTTGCGACTCATAGCGACCCTATGTACAACAGCCCTAAACCATGCTCTATCCTGTGCCAATCTCATTGCCTCTGACAAACCTGTCCCGAGTACCCCAGTCACTGAATCATTCCACCTCATAGAGGGTCTTCCCCTCCTGCGCTGTCTCTCCACTCTACCCAGCATGATGTCCCTCTCTAAAGACCTGTCTCTCCTTACAACATGTCCAAAGTATGTCAGACGAAGCCCCAGAATCCTTGCCTCCAAGGAGCAGCCTGGTCCAATCCTCTCTACGATGAATCTGTTTGTTTTCTTGGCAGTCCATGGTACATTCAATACTCTTCTCCAGCACCACAGCTCAAAGGCGTCAATTCTCCTTCTATCCTCCCTAGTCATTGTCCAACTCTCTGATGCATAACAAGTGATTGCAAAAACCATGGCCTGTATCAGGCGCACCTTAGTCTCCAGAGAGACACCGTTGCTCTTGAGTACGTTAGAGAGGTCCCTAACCGCAGACTTTCCCATCGCAATATGTTTTTTGATTTCCTGGCTACTGGTGCCAAGAGTGTTGACCGTGGAGCCGAGCAAACTGAAGCTGTGAACAATCTCAATCTCTTCGCCATCCATCCTGATGCTACCAATTGGTCCAGTGGTGAGAATTTTTGTCTTCTTAACATTGAGCCTCAGTCCATATTGAAGGCTGCAGTCCTTGACCCTCTGCAGTAAGTGCATGAGGTCCTCCTCAGTTTCAACGAGCAAGGTTGTGTCATCTGCATAACGCAGATTGTTGATAGATCATCCACCAATCCTAACACCTCGCCTCTCCTCATAGAGCCCCGCGTCTCGGATAATCTGCTCTGCATACAGGTTGAAAAGGTATGGAGACAGGACACATCCCTGATGTACACCCTTCCCAATTTTGAACCATGCAGTGTTACCCTGCTCTGTTCTGATGACTGCCTCTTGGTCCAAGTATAGGTTCCGCATTAGCACGATTAAATGTTCTGGGAATCCCATTCTTCTCAGAGTCAGCCACAGTTTGTTATGATCCACGCAGTCAAATGGCTTTGCATAATCAATGAAACACAGATAGACATTCTTCTGGTAATCTCTGCTTTCAGCTAAGATCCATCTAACATCAGCTACAATACCCCTAGTACCACGAGCCCTTCTAAACCTAGCCTGAACTTCTGGCAATTCTCTGCTGATGTACTGTTCCAGTCGTTTTTGGATAATCTTCAGTAGAATCTTGCTTGCATGTGAAATCAATGATATTGTTCTGTAGTTTCCACACTCAGTTGGGTCACCCTTCTTTGGGATGGGAACAAATATTGACCTCTTCCAGTCAGTTGGCCAAGTGGTTGTTCTCCAGATTTCTTGGCACAACTTGGTGAGCACATCCACGGCAGCATCTGTTAGCTGAAATATGTCAATTGGTATACCGTCTATTCCGGGGCCCTTATTTTTTGCTATTTCCTTCAAAGCAGCTTGAACTTCTGCCTTCATCACCGTCGGCTCTGGCTCAAATGCTATTTCATTAAATTCTTCTGTATCTGCCAATTTCTTTTGGTACAATGATTCAGTATATTCCTTCCATCTTCTTTTGATACCTCCTGGATCATTTAACATTCTGTCTAAAGCATCCTTGATTGTAGCAACTCGAGGTTTGAATTTGCTCACTTTTTAGTAAGATCTTATTTTTTTTTAAAATTATGTCTTTAAGTATTTGGCCCTCCCATCTTTGTGGGAGTGGACCTGGAAATTTTTAGAATTCAGTGACTGACATAAAGTAGCATAGATACAATCCCTTAAAAATATGAGTGCTTCATGATATAATAGATCTTTGGATCAAACTAGATTGATTAAAAAATAGGTAAAAATGTGGTATCTTAACTCCCCTGGGATTGCACATAGCCATTTCAGGTGTTTGTTCCTACCCTGGATGAAAACTAGTTTAGAAAGGCTGTGGATAGACTGTAATTGAGAGCACTGTTACCAAGTGAGTGAGACCAAGGCTGACGGCAGCTCAGCCGTTCTGCCCACCTGCCTCACAGCCTTCCTGCCCACAAGCCCCGCTGTCGTCCTGCCCACATGCCCCACTGCCGTCCTGCCCACATGCCCCACTGCCGTCTTGCCCACATGCCCTACTGCCTTCTCTGATTGCTGTTTCTCCCAGACTGGTGTATCCTTCCTTGCTTAAGCTTCCCTTCACCCCTCATTTATGTTAAATGCCCCTACTCCTTCAGATTTATATAACAAGCACCCATGCCTGGCTGCCTGGCTGTGTCATGCTGAACTGCTAGTCAATACCCTCTTGTCCCCTGTACATGATTGAGCTCAGGACTCTGTGCTGCATTTCCAGAGCCCAGTGTCTGGCACAGTGACTGGCTTATGTTGTAGGAGTTGGATGTAAATGGTTATGATGATAGTTAGTACTAAGGGCTTTCATCCCTGATGAGAAAGTCACCCATTGCCCATCACCTCGGTCGCTGTGAAGACTTCATTTACTTAGCATGTCTTCCACAGGAAATCTGTGGGGTGTAAGAAACACTCAGTTTTGACTCTGATTTGCCTTGCTCTATCTATAGTAACACTGGTCACTGAATTTACCTCTAAATATTTTGTTGTTGTTTGATCTTTTAAAAGCGCAACTCAATGGCAGTGGGTTTGGCTTTAGTTTGGTGGTCTAGAGTTAGAGTCTATCAAGGTGAATGTACCTGCAGGGCGAGCTGGTGCCTTCTTGCTCACCTACAAGTCAGGACCTGTGCTACCTGTTTGTAGCCTCTCAAATGTCTTCTATTTGATGTGACAAAGACAAATGCTGAAGTAACTTAGAGCCTCATATATGAAATCATGTTCATTATAATTTGTATTAATTTGATTTACTGTGTTCTCATTATGTTAACATATAACATTAGCTTAATCATGATGCTGTGTTTCCTTATCTTAGTTGACTGTCGTTGTTGTTGTGTACCATCGAGGCAGAACTGACCCATAGCTGATCCTTCAGTGGATTTTCAGAGGCAGTTAATCTCAAGGGAGGAAATTGTCCATCCTTCTCCCATGGAGCAGCTGGTGGACTCCAACCATGTGCCTTTGGGACTGCAGCACAGCTTCTTGCCAGTTGATCCTAAATTATTCATGAAAGTGACATCTTGACAGTGTTTGAATATGCACAAAAAAGATCATTTGATGTATGCTTAATACTGGACAGTTGTCTTTCCTACAAGAAAGTTTAACGAAGCTATCAAACAAAAATGCAAAAGTAATACCAGATAAGTTTAAAATTTCAATTTCTAGTACTTTTTTGTGTTTCTGTTGATCAGGGATTCTGACTTTAGACATGTGTTTCTTTTTCTCTTACCTACTTTCAGCTCACTTAGAGGCAAGTTTCGAGGAGGTAGAAAACCACCTGTTGCATCTAGAAGATCTGTGTGGGCAGTGCGAGTTAGAAAGGCACAAGCATATGCAGTCCCAGCAACTGGAAAACTATAAGAAAAACAAGAGGTGAGTTCAACAAACTGGCCTTAATGCTCATTTTCATTCTCAGAGTTTTCCACATTACTTTACGTGTTCTTCTCCATGTGCTTTAACTATTAAAGATAAAGATTTCAATATGTAAAGCTCATAATGTTGTTATTGTTGATGATTGCTGTCGAGTCACACACGACTCATAGTGACTCTATGAACAAAAGACCTAATGCTTTCTCATAACTACCATCGTTCCAATTTCATAGAGTTTCCAGGGACATGGGGTTTAGGAAGTGGATTCCACACCTGCTTCCAAACCTGTTTTACAACTGGGAGCTACACCAAACACTGTCCACATTGGAAAACCATTCTGGTATTTGATACCCCGATAGTACAAGGTTCAACATCACAGCAACCCAGGTTACTTCATACTGCACATTGACAAAGAGTGATTTACAAAATGGAAGAGTGTTTTCCGGATATAAACAGCACTAGTTTCACTTAACAGTGGTTAAGTGTCGTCAAGTTGAATATGACTGAGCATAAGTTTTACATAAAAGACCTGAACTCTGTTCTATAACTAACATCATTTATGTATATTTATAGTTTAGAGAGTTTGTAGGGCTTAGAGAGTTTGTAGAATTTCCAGAAGTATCTAGTTTAGGAAGTGGATGCCACTGCTTCCCATCATAAATCAATCTGGAAGCTCATCTAAACATTGTACATAATGGGCATCCATTATGGTATTTGACAAGACACAGCAACACCAATATGTTCAGTTCAGCAAATAGAAGATTGCTGTTTTATTTAAGGGATATTTATTAAAAAAATAAAACCCCTGCTGGGTTTTAAAGCCAGTGCCTTTGAGCAGACTTCCACCCTAGGCAAAGGCTCAAGGACACCCACTCTTGAGGGGAAAAGAGCAGCAATACACAACAGACATGACCCCAAAAACCTCTCTCACGTACCCATCAGGACTGCCATCCGATGCAAGGGACAGCCAAAGTCCCAGAGTGGGGTTCCAGGCCCCAGTCAGCAGTCCCATCCCTTCCCCCGTGGGCTTTTAAAGCCAATGCCTTTGAGCAGACTTCCATCCTAGGCAAAGGCTCAAGGACACATGCTCTTGAAGGGAAATGAGCAGCAATACACAACAGACACGACCCCAAAAACCTCTCTTACGCGCCCATCAGAACTGCCATAATAAGTATGCCAAAAAACTTTTGCGTTTGTTTGTTGGTACCATTATCTTTTGCTAAGGAATCTTGGTGGCACAGTGGTTAAGTGCTTAGCTGTTAACTGACAGGCCAATGTTTCAGACCTAACAGTCATTCAGAGGGATGGGCAGCCAATTTCCTTAAAGATTTATGTTCTTTTTTAAAAAAAAGCCCTGTGAGGGACAGGTCTATTCTTTTCCTATAGGGCTGCTATTGTCACAATTGGCTTGGTGACAAGTGGTTTGCTTTGGGATATCTGTTGCTGTTTTACAAACAAGTTAAGGATGAGATAAAATTCATAACTTGCCACTTCAAAGGGGAAGGAGAGTAGAGCAGTGGAGCAAAGTTTTCAAGTGAAGTAGAAGTCTTGGCCTAATTTTCTCCAAATGGCAGACTACCTCTCTTATTTCTCTTATGCCCTCTTTAGAGTAGAAGGGGAAATCTCTCAATCCCATCTCATAACAGTTGTGGAGCTTTAGACAACATATTTCATCCCAAATAAGCCTCATTTTCTCTGGTTCATGATGGAGACACTAATACACCCACCTCCTAGAGGGTTGTGAGGATTAAATGAAACAATCCTTATGAAAAATGGTAGTTGTATGAATAGTGATTATTATGACATTAACTTGAATAGGAAATGGAAGAGAAGTCTTAAGGGTAACAGCCTGTGCACACTGGCTGTCAGGGATGGGTTAGTAAGTAGGCGCCGACTGGGTACCTCTGGAATCCCCGGGGAGATCTGTGAGAATGGAGGGTTGGGGGAGTGCCTGAGGACTTCACTGTTATTTTGCTAGGCAGAGAAGGAAATGTAGGTGGGAAATGTTTGATAAAGGAAAGCAAACAGAAGATACTGTTTTAGGGTTGGAGTTTGAGTCAGGCTGAAGAGCGTTTTTTGGTGGGAGAAGTATGAGGACTGGCTGGCAGAGTTCACTGTTGATTGTAGCACTGGTAAACTGAGTGGTTCTGTCCCTAACAGTGTGGCAGTCAGAGAACTGCGTTGCTAACATGGTTGCATGGTGCTGGTCATTGCTTTACACGTGAGGATAATGTGTGATGTTGTGAGTGACCACAGTGATGTTAAAGTCTCCTAGAGTAATGCCAAGAGATGGGGTACAGAGAGAAACTGAGTATTTTGGAGCAGAATTGCTCAGTCAGGTTCATGGGATGGGTCTTAAATGTTAACAAGCCGTACGAGTCACTTGGAGACAGGGATGTTCAAAACACAGAGTCACCTGGGCTTTGCTGATCTTTTACTCCAAGGTCCTGCATCCTTCTTGAGCTAGTTTTTATATATAGTGTGAGGTATTGAACTTGTTTCAGTTTCTGCAGATAAACACATTTTCTCACCCCATTTCTTTTTCTTTCTTTCTCTTTTTTTTTTATTTTACGCTAGTCTATTTACTAAATTCTTACACATTGTTTTAGAGAACAGAATTGTCCATCGGTGAATGGATGGATTTCTGGTTTCTCCATTCTGTTATATTTGTCTATATTCCTGTTATTGTACCAGTATCAAGCTATTTTAATTACTGGGATTGTGTAGTAGGTTTTGGGTTCATGGAATGTGAGACTTCTTACTTTTTCTTCCCCATTATCTCTGTTTATCTGAACATTATCACTTTGCTTATCTGACGTCTTTTTCCTTTCTGTATGAAGTTGGTGATGACTTTTTCTTCCATCTTTTTGTATTATTTGTAGATTGCTTTCGGTGCTATTGCCATTTTCATGGTAAGTCTTCTGATTTATTAGCATGGTATATCCTCGCACTTATGTAGGTCTCCTTGGATTTCTTGTAGTGTTTTGTAGTCCTCATTGTCCAGGTCTTTTAAATCACTGGTTAGATTTATTCCTAAACAGGGAGCTCTAGAAGCATAGACCATAGAGAGTTGCACTGCTAACCCAAAGACACTACTCTTTAGGCAGTCCAATTCTCTAGCAGCTTTGAGGGAGAAAGATGAGCAGTCTCTTCCCAAGTGGTTCACCGCCTCTGAAAACCTACTGTAAATCCTGCCATGAGGCAGTTCAGCTAGATGGCAATGAGTGAGATTGTAAATGGTGTTGTTTTCCTGATTTCTTTTTCAGAGTTCTCTTTGTTGCTGTAGAAGAGTCAGACTAATTTTGTATGTTGATCTTGTGCCCTGCCACTTAGCTGAATTAAGCAATTAGATCCAGTCATTTTCTTACTGAGCTTTATGGATTATATTTATTTTTTTTTTCTTTATTTTATATATAATATATATGTATATATAATAATATAAAATGTAAATAGAGGTAATTTTACTTCATCTTTGGCAATATGGATGTCTTTTATTGCCTTTTTTTGCCCTTCTGCTCTGACTATAGGATGGAGACTAAGGTGATCTGGGCTATAGTCTTTACAATTATGTGCTATGTATCGGAGAGTTGGACAGTGACTAGGGATGATAGAGAATTGATACCTTTGAGCTGTGGTGCTGGGAAGGGTGTTGAATATACCATGGACTGCTAGGAGAACAAACAGGTTTGCCCTGGAGAGGGTGAAGCAAATGTTCCTTGGAGTCTAGGATTCTGAAGCTTTGTCTGACATACTTTGGGCATGTTGCAAGGAGGGACTGGTCCTTGGAGAGGGACGTCATGTTTGGGAGAGTAGAGGGTTGGCACATGAGAGGAAGATCCTTGATGAGATGGATCGATTCTGTGATTGGGGTGGTGGGGGTGAGTGTGTTTGAGACAGTGAGGTTGGCACAGAATAGAGCAGGGTTTAGGGCTCTTGTACATAGGATGGGTCGCTATGAGTCACAAGCGACTTGAAGGCACATAACAACAGCAGCAACATGCCTTCAGTACAATATTGGATTGGAGAAGTTATAAAGGGCAGCCTTGTTTGGTTTCCATTCACCCTTCAGTCTCTCTCCATTGAGAGTAATGTTAATCATTGTTTTTGTATACATGCTTTTAATTATGTTGAGGAATAACTCTTCTATTTCTATTCTGTTGAGTAGTTTTATTGGGGAAACGTTGAATTTTTGTCAAATGCCTTTTTCTGCACCAATTGGGATGATCTTATGGTTCTTTACCTATGTTTTATTGATTTGGTGGATCTATTTGATTGATTCTTTTTCTAATGTTGAACCATCCTTGCATACCTGATATGAATCCTCTTTGATCATGATGAATGATTTTTTAAATATGGGGTTAGATTAATTTGGGTAGGATTTTTTTAGAAAATTTAACCTCTATGAGAATACCATGGACTGCTAGGAAAACAAATAGATTTGTCCTGGAGAGGGTTAAACCGGGTGACTCCTTGGAGGCAAGGATTCTGAGGCTCCGTCTAACATACTTTGGACATGTAGTGAGGAGAGACCGGTCCTTGGAGAGGGACATCATGCTTGGCAGGGTGGAGGGACGGCGCAGGAGAGGAAGGCCCTCTATGAGGTGGATTGATTCAGTGACTGGGATAATTGGGATGGGAGTGTCAGAGACAGTGCGATTGGCACAGGACAGAGCGGAGTTTAGGGCTGTTGTACATAGGGGTGCTATGAGTCGCAGGCGACTCGATGGCACATAACAACAACAACAACATTCTTTTTTTTTTTTAAATTTAGGTTGTTTATTTTTCATTTCAATGAATATCTACAGAGATTTTGGGATTCCATTCATTCATTGTTGCACCCTTCTCCCCGCACAAACCCCTCCCCCCTCCCCCCCCCTTTGCTCCTCTCCTTGAAAAGCAAAAGAAAAACTCCCACATTGGTACACAATCCCCCCCCCCCGCACCTCCCCAAACCCCACCCCCTAGCCCCAAATATAATCCACTCTACAACCGTCATTGCATAC